TTTGTCCTATTCACTTAAAGAAAATAAAAACACTTTAAAATGATTTTCTTCTTATAAGTGTAAAAAATAAAATCAAAGACAAAGAAAAAACAATAAAAAGTTTTTTTTTCACCAGGGTTACCCCTACAGCTCTACTTCCTGTTACAAACGTAAACAAAGCTCCTCTGTGCCTCAGGACGACCCGTGTCAGTTTTTAATAACAGTAGAGACGTCGTTACTCCTCAGTTGAGCTGCAGCCTGCAGATGAAGCAATACGTGCTTTTTATTTTTATTTTAATTTTTTGTGAAGCAACATCTGCTGTTTGCCTCCTTTTTCATCTGTTAAGAGAGCGAGGAGGAAAAGTTCTGCACGGTGCAGCGCAGCTGGAGCGCTGCTGTCCCACCAGGTGAATGAAAGTCAGCAGACATGAGCACACAGGTCAGTTTTCTACAATCAGAATAAGATGATCAGATTAAGTGTTTACATGAACCTCATTCAGATTATCAATCAGAATAACCCACCCTTTTCATTTGGATTAAAAATYCATTYGGATCGAGCTCAATCAGATCAGAATAATCTGAACAAGCTGTTTACATGACGCATTTTTATTCCGAACGGTTGTTTAATCCGATTACTTTTGTCCACCATGTAAACGTAGCTAATGACAGACAACAAATATTACATTTATAGTATTACAACTAAAACTGTTTTTGATGCCGCCACCGCAGTTTGTCCTTCATGAGCCTTCGTAGACAAGATGGTGGTGAAAGATGGCGGCTGCCTGTAGTGGCGACCCGCGACCATGGAGATATAAACAACTTTTTATAAGCTTTTTGTATTTTTTTAACCACTTCAGTAGAAAGCAGTACTAAATATCTGAATATTAGTATCTTAGCTTCATCATCAGTCTTTCTTTACATAGACAAGAAAGAAGACGAAAGAAAGGAAAAAAGAAGGAAAGGAAAGACAAGTTACAATGTAATGGAAAAAAGTGAAAGAAAGAATTGATGATATGTGAGATATAAGTCAAGAAAACAATACAATCCATCCAACATCTGTCTGCACACCTGCAAAGAATTAAGGTTACAAAACTTAGCAAAAGCATACATATATACATTCAGACAGATAAACACCCACCTGTATATACCTGGTGATCATTCAGAACCTCTCGGATCTGAACACCTGTCCGCGTGCGGTTGTGAGCAAGCTTAAATTTACAGGATTTCTCCAACAGACTGTATAATAGTGACTGTGGGGGAGTCTCAGARCCGACCCCCAAGGCACGAGGCAGACATAAGGGGAGGCCAGAGTCAACGACCCCAGGAGGAACCCCAAGCACCGGACCCCCGGGTACACCTACCTGAGGAGAGCCACACACCCACCCCCAGGTCAAACCATAGGGGAGACCCAGGAGAACCCCACCAGTGACCACACGCAGCAGCCCCACAGCAACRAGCACGCAGGCCCCCGCTGGCCCCCGCTGCGCTAGGGCAAGCACGGGCATGGGCACAGAGGACCCAAGCCCCGACATGCAGCCACCAGGCTGAGCCAGCGCACACCCGAGCACCCAGACCCAGACCCCAAGAGCCATCCACGTGCCGTTGGGCAAGGCACCCCCACCAGAGGGCGGTATGGGATGGGGGCGACAAACGAACCAGGGGAGGGGGAAGTCCACGTCCCAAACTGACACATACCCATGCAGACACAAACACAATCATACAATATACTGTATATTATTTTCACATCATTGATGTAACTTCAGATTTTGTGGGTTGTAACATGGCCTTTGGCCTGTTTGTAACAAAAACATGTTGGACCATTCTAACTGTCTGCCCACTGCACACTGACAGTATTATAGTCCTCTGGTTTTCTGAAACAGTAACTGGCTGTTCTGCTAGTTGTCCTTTAGACTGGAGCCAATAAAAGAGGGTGACTGTTTCATTGTCCTCCAAGTACCAACTAACAGTCAATGACTGTCATCTACTTGTTCTCTACAGCAGGAAAAAGCTGCTGAATGCACTCCACTCCACTCACTAACTGTACATTCACTGCTAGTAATGCAAACAACTGAACAACTAGGAACGTGCGATATGGCAAAAAATTCATATCACGATATACATTATGATGGGTGGTGGTAACGATATATGTCACGATATAAAACTTATAATAGAAAATAAATAAATCACACGTTAATTGAGTGGAATAAATATGTATAGGTAAAAAAATTTGGACTTTAAAATCTCCTTTTTTAAGGGACACTTTAAAGTCTCCCATAAAAATTAAATTTAAGGGAGATCTACCTGGTTAAATCATATGTATGTATATATATATATATATATATATATATATATAAAAAACACACACACACAATAACTTTAATGTAACAGATATATCCTGCTATGACTGCAGGAGAAACGAGGTCCAGACTCAGCGAGCTTTTGAGTCCTGGAGCACTACCTCACTGACTCACCCGCACTGACTGTCGCCTCGCTGCGTCACCATGTGCTGCAGCGCACACTCCTCCTGCAGCAGGCACTGTGGTCGGTCGGCATCCGACCGGAGCACGCTCCATCACATAAACATGTACAGCTCGACGTTCATTTTCACACACCTGAACCAGGTCCTGATAAGTTATGTTTTTTTCCTCCTCTTCATTTGCGCTCTCAGTCACGCTGCTTCCCACTTCCTCTGTTTTGACTCCAGCTGGTTACGTCATCAAAAACAATTGTGCGGTTGGCCGGTAGACTATAGATCTCTATCATTCATAGGACAAATTTATATCGTTTCTACTGTATATCGTTTATATCGCCATTCCTATAAACAACTTACGATTAATTATYGAATAATGATTTATTAGATTAAAATTAGATTAATTGAAAACATCAGTTTAAACCTTATTACAGTGTAGTTTTTGTCTTCATCCAGTAGAGGGCGTTGCTGCTCTCAGCCTGGCCTTGCTCTACCTTGGCCCTGTTGAGCTGAGCAGAGAGCCGCCTCGCTGTGGGCAGCGTCATAATTAAACGTGCAAATGTTATTTAGTTTTATTTGTGACACAACACTAATAATGGACTGCACCAAACTGGAAGGAAAATTACCAAAGGCTGTACTGGACCATCCAGCAGTATGACACTGATAGAGCAGGGCGACAGAGAACGGTAAGCTAACTGTGGCTAAAGTTAGCTTCTTCTTSTTGAGTTTGACTCGTGTGAAAGAAAAACAAACAAAAAATAATAAAAGTTATAGTCGCTACAAGTTACAGTCACTACAAATAATTAACTTAAAGTTAATCTCATCTGTATGATGTAATCTGGCCAGTGAACAAATCAAATGAACAGTAGCTGAGGTCAAATCATGCCGAGCAGCCAAGCCCATATAGTCTAGCTAGCAGGAGGGGGGTGGAGGGGTGGGCGTCCCATGCACCGCACCCGAAAGATATATTTTTTAACCTAACTTTTTTACTCCTTAAGGTGTTTAGTAAATGGATTGTGTTGGCCCCAGAGCAAATTGTTGTCCCATATATGTTTTTATTGACCATCTTTAATGGCCGACCTGGATTTTCCGTTGTGAATAATGAAAACTTTAAATCAACATAGCTCCTAAACTATACATGTGACAGACACCATTCACCCCATTTTATTTTTGTCTTTTCGTGGGTAATTGGTTAAAAAAGAGATTCCTATGATTATATCATGTTTGATGCATAATAGCTGGAGTAAACACTAAAAAAATGCTAAAATTAGCCTAAACTGAATCGCAGGAACTTCTCCCCTGTACACACTATTGATATTTTTTTCAAAGCTTTGCATATTTATAATCTTCAACACGCATAGTAAACACAAGTTGTTGATATCCACTTGAAATGTTGTCACGTGTGTGTTTATTGTGCCATTTTGTTTGCCGACCTGGATTTCCACAAATGCAAAAAAGAGAATGTAAAATCAACGTAGCTCTTAAACTATACATCCAACTTAATATGGAGTTAATACCAACTTAATATGTTAATATGGAACCACAGGGAATGTAAACAAACAATTGTCAGTACTCATTTGTACTCTCACATCTTTCAGGCATATTTTATGTTTATAGTTTGTCTTTGAGTTACAACAAACCTTATGACCCCAGTTTAGCTCCATGCACACACACATTGACAAAGGCAAACGTTATTGCCTACCTTCCATCATTTGGTGACGGCTAATTGAAAACAGGATATATAAAACACAGCCAATACAACAGAAAAGAGTTTTGCTTTAAAAACTTGGTGGAAATCAACACAGAAAACACTTGGGGCTGCTGTGAGTGGTTAAGGGTGTCTTTCCTCTAACGAAAGAGTTGGCAGTTTGATTCCCCACTATTCCTTCACATGTTGAAGTGTCTCTGGGCAAGACACTGAACCCCCACTGCCTCTGATGTGTGTCTCAGCAGTGTATGAGTGTGATTTAAAGCACTGACTCTTCTCTATAGATTGATTCACCTGTATTAGTTTTGTAGTGAGATCGAATAAAATGAATGTGTAAATAAAGACACATATTGTAGTGTGACGTGCTTTGAGGAGGTTGGGTAGAAAAGTGCTAAATACAGTAAGTACAGTCCATTTACCATTTGAGTATTTAATATTAAGATTTCCTCCATTTGTGTCTGCAGGCTTTCAAGGAGATGTTATATGCTGCACAGGACCAAGCACCATCTGTTGAAGGTTACACACACACACACACACACACACACACACACACACACACACACACACACACACACACACACACAC